TTTATTGAATGTATCTCTGTATCTAAAGTGGCGTTATCAGAAAAGATAAAGAGAAGCTTACTTGATACTCTTAATGAGAATTTGAGACATCCTAATTCTCAGATACAGGTTTTATCCCTTTGATTCCAGCAATTTGTATTATCATTTAATTTTTGGTTAATGTCGTCAGCACATGCAATTTTTGTTGGGTATTATATATCTGACAAGCAAAAGCTTCATTTGATATACAGAATGCTGCTGTTAAAGGCCTGAAACACTTTGTCTGTGCATACTTACATGCTTCAGATAATAAAGGTACAAGTGATGTGGCAGTGAAGTACCTCAATATGTTGACTGATCCAAATGTAGCTGTAAGGAGAGGATCTGCATTGGCAATAGGTGTTTTGCCATCTGAGTTATTGACCAGTCAGTGGAGAAATGTGCTTTTGAAGCTTTGTGGCTGTTGTACAATTGAGGTGCTTCGTGCAGTTGCAAATGCTATAATATTACTCTCTTGGGTTCAATGATTGTGTTATACAATTGTTTTCCTATGTGCAGGAAAACCCTGAAGACAGAGATGCCGAAGCACGAGTAAATGCTGTCAAAGGACTCATATCAGTATGTGAAACATTAATTAATGGAAGAGAAGATACTGCTACATCTCTCATTGAGAACGACTTTTCTCTATTTTTTCTGATAAAGAATGAGGTGATGATGAGTTTATTTAAAGCTCTTGATGATTATTCTGTTGATAACAGAGGTGATGTAGGTTCTTGGGTTCGTGAGGCTGCGTTAGATGGCCTTGAAAAATGTACGTACATGCTCTGTACGATAGACGACAAGTCAGTTTTTTTGTCTGAAAGATCAGATGGAAATGAAACTGAATCTGCAGTGCAGCCTTTGACTGATAACATGGTTAAGAAAAACCAAGAGCTTTTACTATTCGATGAAAATCTTGCTACCAATTTAGTCGGAAGAATTTGTAAGCAAGCCGTGGAGAAGATGGATAAGCTGAGAGAAGCAGCAGCAAATGTTCTCTACAGAATTTTGTACCACGAGACGATTTATATTCCATATATACCTTTCCGAGGAAAGTTAGAAGAAATCATTCCTAAGGAAGCAGATGCTAAATGGGCTGTAAGTCTTAGATCTTTCATCAATTCTTGAGGTGGGTAGCATAGATTTTTTTTATTGAGAGTAAATACTGTTTTATTGCAGGTTCCTTCCTATTCTTACCCTCGCTTTGTACAGTTACTTCAATTTGGTTGTTATAGCAGAGATGTGCTATCAGGTTTAGTTATATCTATTGGTGGGTTGCAAGATTCTTTGAAGAGGGTATCACTCTTGGCACTGTTAGAGTATCTAGAGGGGGTTCAATCTGAAGACCCTAATACAAGAACGTCCAGGGAGTACATGCTATCTGTGGACATCCTGTGGGTTCTCCAACAGTACAAGAAATGTGACAGAGTTATCATACCCACTTTAAAGGTATTAACTTTCATAAGCAAAGCTTAATTATTCTTGCTTCGTTTAACTGAACTTTCAAAAAAATTGGTTCTGTTATTCCTTTTTTCCTTTCTTGGGGGTAAAGATAATTTCTCTATGTAAAAAGGGTGCTGGTTCCAAGCTCAAAATCAATAGCTCAGCCTGCAAATCCCTCGGTTGAACCTCTATGGCCATCCGCAACTCCCTGAGTTGCCATCATCCTTTGCTGCAACTCACAGGCATAATAGCATGACTGGTAATAAAGTCTTGAGCAGGGATTTCTTTTTTCTTTTTTACCGTGGAAGGACCCGGATAGTCAAGTCTCAATTCCATGTAGAAATCTATAGAAAAGGCAAAGAGAAAGAAAGAGAGAATATGAAAGAGGAGGAGGTTGCTTTATAATGGAATACACTATCTTGATTTTAGTTAGGTTTCAAGTGCATATTTATTTAATCTAATAAATCAGATGCAGTACTAGGGAAGTACAACTCGTACAGGTCTAGACCAGCATGTTCAACACACTATACTACTCTAGTAGTCTCAAAACCTAGAGGCTTCAGTCTACGCAACAAAAACAGTTTGATGTACCTTGGGATATAACATAATGATTACCTGTAAGAACCAAATATTTACTATATTCACTTAGCTACAAGGTAAGACTGAGCCATGGGTTGGAGTTGAAGTATTTCCATTCTAAGAATTCCTAGCCATTTATACGTATCCAGCATAGAGAATCCCGGTCAGCGCCCTTATTAACTTCAATCCTTAAAATTATTTCATATAAAAGTTTAGCTTGTTTTCTTTTTGTAATGTATATAATACTTGTTGCGTGCCTCCTCTGTTATGAAATGTAAATCTATACACAAATCAATTTTCCCTGAGTATTATCTGTAAATCTCTGATATATTGATGAACTTATTCTGTAATCCAGACCATTGAGATTCTGTTCGGCAAGAAGATATTCCTTAATATGGAGGTTAGTCTGCTTTTCTGTTCTTTATTTTTCATCTTTCCGGTTAGTAGGTCCTCTAATTATTACTCCTGTTCTTCACATTGTCTATTTCTGCATTGGTTTTGTGGCAAGCAATCCTATATATTGGTTTGTCGGCAAGAGATATTTGGTCCCCCTATTCTGCCCTTCGTTTTTCCTTATATTCTTTTCATGCTTTCTATTTTGGGTTGTCATTTGTACATCCTTTGTAACTAATTCCCATGTCATCTGCCAACTCATAAACCGTATGTGCCATTTTTACTGTTTAAAAAATATTTGATGTAGGAAGTTTTAATTTCTATTTATTGATATTATGTTTATGTGCTCTTGTAAATGTTTGGTGAGAACACGTTTGATTAATAAATTATATTTTCAGGCTCATACTCCAACTTTTTGTGTTGCTGTTTTGGATTCTCTTGCAATTGAATTGAAGGGATCAAAAGACTTCTCTAAGTTGTATGCTGGTATTGCAATACTTGGTTATGTAGCTTCAATACCGGAACCAATCAATATGAGGGCCTTTTCTCAACTTCTTACTTTTCTTGGTCATCGGTACCCTAAGGTGATTTTCAAATATTCATCCGTATGAGATTCTCAATTTGGGCATCTTGTTTTTCCCTCAAAAGCAATCACTTGCGAAATAGATAGGCTCTTGTTCACAATTTACTTTTGTTGCTTGCTTTGTGGCTTCTCATAAAAAAACCATTCTCCATTAAATCTAGACTAGCAAGGGTAGGGATGAGAGTAATCCTTATACACAGCCTTATCCTTGCATATTTTTAAAGAGGTTGTTTTTCGGCATAACCATTCAGTCACAAAGAAACAACTTTATCACTGCTCCAAGCTTGTCCTCTTTTGCTTTGTGGCTTCTCATATTTAATTTTAATATATTTTCTCTGTTGTTGTTAACCAGATTCGAAAAGCTTCAGCCGAACAAGTCTACCTTGTCCTTCTGCAAAATGGGAATCTTGTGGCTGAAGACAAGATTGAGAAAGCACTTGAAATTATTTCTGAGACTTGCTGGGATGGGGACATGGATTTAGCAAAACACCAAAGATTAGAATTGTATGAGACTGTAGGTTTGGAGGTGGAGCCACTTGGCAAGAATAGTGATGGAGCATCAACAAAACCTAGCAGTAAGAAGCCTAAAGACTTGGATGAAAATGCATCATATTCCTCATTAGTTGAGTCATCTGGGTTCTGATTTTTGTTAGTGTTGATATGAAATTTTCATACGCATTAGTCAATTTCGAGTCATACTCATGTCCCCAAAGGATGTTATGAATTTACTGGATTAACTATAAAACCTTTTTTTAAGCCGAAAGAAAGAAAATGGAGCTGAAGTAAAGATGAAAGAAATGAACGTAAAGAGTTGGTTTCTGTGAGTTGTTTTTTATATATGTAATCAACACTTATCTATGGGGGAGAATAACCGTCCCCACTCAATTCATTTACATTCCAAATTACTATATGATATTATCAGTATTCAGTTTAGAAAGTACGTTCATGGCCTGAGCTTTTCCGGAAATTTCTTAGTTGTCGGTTATTATATGATTTAGAAAGTACAGCTACCACCAAATGGTGGTAGCTCAGTTAGCGTATAGGAGCTAAGCAGGTGGGGTGAGAGCATGTGTTTGAATTTCTCTAGTACCATCTTTAGGAGGGGTTTAAAGCCTTAATCCTGGACTCGTCCCGAATTGGATTAGTTACGAAGTGATGAACCGATTGAGATATTTCTAAAAAAAAAAGTACAGCCACATTGTTTAAAGGACTGTCTGGGGTTTAATAAATTTACTGGGTTGTATATAAATGCGTTTCAAACGGTGATAATGTGATTTTTCGTTAATTTAATAATAAATCTAAGAAGGGAAATGTTGTAGTTATCCATATTTTCATATAAAATAGGTTTACTTATCTAATATTACTCTGAATTTTCTTTTCGTTTTTATTTTTTTATATTTTTTGAGCTTCTATGGTTAATATGAGCACAGTTTACGCAGTACAAACTATGACCTGCGAAATTTCTAAGAAATTTTGTCAGCCTGGCGTGTTCTTACGAACTGTATCATTTTGTCTTCAAAGAAAATGCAGAGAATCTTCTACTATACAAACAATAAGTGAAAAAAATATCATACATTAAAATAAAGTAGTTGAATAAAGTGCCATGTAATTTTTAAATTTTATAAGCTTGGTCTATCTCAAACAGTTTTAATCATGTTATTTTGTTTTATATACATTCGTTTAAGAAAAATATAAAAAACTATTCTCATGCTATATGAGATAAGTTTTCTCTTACACACCGTTTAATAATTATGCCACTTTTTTCTTGTATTTTATTTTTATTTTTTCAAATGATAGAATCCACAAATTTATTTCTATGACATGATATAATTTATCTCCTTTTAATATGGATTAATAAAACCCAAAAGAAATATGTTTCTTATGCTTTCCGAATAGTACAATCCTGTGTCTGGCTATTGGCCTGAAATTTCCTTGAGTAAAAAGCACCTTGTGAACTCAACTTTGGTTGTCCCCAGCTACTTTTTCTTAGCGTAAAATGCCAAACCTTTTGCCTTGTGAGACACTCACTCACAAACCACACCAACCCTATCCCTTGTGAAATGGGGGTTTCAGGCCTCGGCACTTGCCTCACAAACTGATACTACTTGTCTCATCCTCATCAACTTTGCATAAGAGCTCTATAAAAGATCTCATTTGGTTTGGACTTTGGAGCAATATTAAAGCACTTGCTTGTGTCAGAGTGCTTCTTATAGGTAACTTGAGTTCTGAGAACAATAACTTCACTACCGCATTCCTTTTTTTTTTTTTTTTTTAAATTTGTGTGTTACTTGGTTTGAATTTGCTTATTATTGCCTTTGGTAACCTAGAAAGTTTCTTTCTTGTCTTAACCAAATTAACAGAAAATATGGAGGGACATCAACTTTTGGGCTTTGGGTTCTTTATAGTTGGTTTATGGCATCTCTTCAACAACATCAAGCTCCATGTTCTTTGTTTCAAGTCTTACACATCAACCCTATGGTTTCCCATCAGAAAATTCAGATACTTGGAGCTCCATTTCATCATGGCAAGCTGCATAATCTTCATTACCATGGAGCTCTTCATCGCTCAGGCTCATCACCAACCATTGGACCCTGATGGAACAATTCCCTCTACCCATCTCCATAACTTTGAACACTCCTTAATGGCTTTGGCTTTCTTGGTCTATGCTACCTTTGCCATGGTTCTTGATATAAAAGGGACTAAAGCTCAACATGACTTAACTCAATTGCTTGGAGCTATAGCTTTTGCACAACAGCTTCTTCTTATCCACCTTCACTCTACAGATCACATGGGGCTAGAAGGACAATATCATTTTTTGTTGCAAATTCTGGTCCTTATTTCTTTGGTCACAACCCTCATGGGAATTGGCTTCCCTAAGAGCTTCTTGGTCAGCTTTGTGCGTTCAATCAGCATAACCTTCCAAGGTGGGTGGCTTATGATCACGGGATTCATGCTTTGGACACCTGAGTTTGTAGCCAAAGGTTGCTTCTTGCACCTTGAGGGTGATAAATATGTGATAAGATGCAATGATGATGAGGCCCTTCATCGTGCTATCTCTCTGGTGAACATTCAATTTAGCTTGCTGTTGATTGGAGTCACCATTTTTGCAATGTCTTTCTACTTAATTATGGCTACAAGTTATGGTGAAAAAGTGGAGTATGTTTCACTGAGGAAGGAGGAACATTGCCGTGAAGATAGCTCAAACAATGACGTTGAATCCCAATCCCAAAGGAAAAGCATGCAAGAGTAAATTTAAAGCACTATGTGAATTATATGCTCTATTAGTGGATAAAAAAAAACACTTATATAAATATATTGCTTAAATTCTTATTGTAGAAAGAACAAATAGTATCTATATTATTCGTGACGTTGCGAGTAATACGAGCATACTTGAGTAGGAAAACCACTCTCGAAATCGAGAGCAAGACTAGCACAGCGTAACAAACATATGCACAATAGGAAGCTTTATATATAGCTCAAAAGTACATAACTACATAGAATAATTTTTGCTTGACGCTAAAAAAGATTTCCTTTTTAGTTTCTTTGATTGATGTAATGTGATCTACGGACAAAGGGTTGTTCACAAGCCCTCCTACAGTATTCGGAGCAAACTTAACTTTCACAAATGATTTCGGGTGAAACAATTTTGAAATTCCTAATTAGCCATTTTTCTTGCATATAGTTAGCAAAAATTCAGTTATCTCCAATTATTTCTCTTTATATATATTAAAATAAAAAATAAAAAAATCCCTTCATATCTAATGCTATGTTTGTGTGCTTGAGCAAAGAGAAAAGGAGGAAACGAACAATATCAATACTGAAATTGTAGTCATTATCGATGACTAGGAAAAAAATTGTTTGTCCAAACACTCTGAGTTGACTAAATTTTCATCCACAAATATATGTCATGTAGTTGTCAAGTGGTTTTGAAGCATGAAGTAAATTAAAATCACAATTCATAGAAACCTTGAGGAAATGAGGCAAAATTCAAGTGTTCCGATATTTTATCTTTCACATCTGGCTTTAGGGACGACCATTCAGTTACATGTATGTATTCATTCCATAATCTCGTAGCAGTAAGGGAACCAGATTTAAAATTGAGATGTATGACTCATCTCCAGCTCACTGGCGATTTGATACAAGAACCGTTACATTGGCTTATTTTATAAGTAAATGTGGTTCCTCCAGGTATCTTCAGTAACTATCAATATCTGTCTCTGGCATCCTAAGGTAATAACGCAGACAGTTCACCAGAACCTGCTCATTCAAAATTAGAAAAGGAGATTGTTGTGAAATTAAATTCAATGCAATAGTTAGATAGACAAGTAATTCCTAAATTAGTTCTACCACAACATCCAGGAAAACTATCTATCTACAGCCCAGAAAGCAGTGAAGCAACCGATTAAGAGCCTGTTTGTTTGACCTTTTAAAAAAAGTAGCTTTTATGTTTTACTTTTTTAGAAGTGTTTTTTTACAAAAGTTAAAGCTATTTATATTTAAAAAATAAAATATTTAGCTTTTGACTTTTGCTTTTTTAAAAACTAAAATTTTTAACTTAAGAAAAGAGTAAGTTTCTGGCCTTTTTTGTGACTTATGTTTTTTTTTAAGCAGACATCCAAACAAACTTACAGTCAGAAGTGTTTTGTTTTTTGAAAAAAAAAAACCATCCAAATAGGCCCTAAGACTACGTATTTTGGGCCCTTAGATCTCCAGTTCTTTTGAACTCAAATGTTACCTGAGACATTGAACTGTTCAATGCAGCCCCACCATAACTGACATGAAATTTATCCTTAGCTACCAAACCCTGAGAGAAAAAGTGGGTAAAGTTATTTTATAGAGTAGATGATGCAACTGAGAGACAGAGACGAACAAAGACAAAGAGGAAGATACCTCTGTATCAATCTCAGCCGATTCAACATCAATGTTCACATCTGCAATGACCTTAATGATTTCAACTAGCAATCCCGGCCTATCTGCTGTCTCTATGTACAGCAAGCTGATAAATATTGAAGTAAAACACATTAGATGACATCAAGCACCTATTGCATATTGGGTTACTAAATTTGCAAATTATTTGGCATCCAGACGATATGGATAATAGACAGATAAAACATTGTACCAAAAAAGTAAATAGCTCAAAAGACAATTATATCCACATATTATAAGATGCAAACCTCCTCCTGGGCCCATCTTGCTTAACTTGTATATGAGTTGCAATATCAACATCACGCTGCACAAAATAACAATAATAAAGTTGATATTCGCAAGACTGAGACTAAGCATTGGAATCATAAAAGCATTTCATTGAATTGAGTAATTGCAACATGCAAATTCTGATAGAACTAAGCATTTTTTTAAAAGATTTTGTTAGCATGACACATGTAAAGAAATAAAAAATAAAAACTGATAAATATTTGACAAGATTGCAGTAGGGAAACTAAATAATTTTCCCATGCCGGCTTTTTCACTTCAAATAGAAAGAGGCACGCACCCACAGGCATAATTGGTCACTGTTCATGTATGAGGTTCAATTTCTAGGTGATCAAAATCTGGATGCAGGTCATAAAGGTTTTAATTTAAATACAAAAATCACCAAATAATTAATTGAGAAAACGTGAAAAATATTGTCCGCTACGCTACCTAAAATAATCAAACAACAACATTCTAATTAATTTATAGAAGAAAGGTCATAAACACAAGATTATCGAAATCATCTGCTCAGAAATGAAATGCAGACAAGGATGTATGAATGAACTAAATACGATATCGCAAAGTTTCAGCCCTAAAAACTCACCCAGACACACAAAACTTTGGACTACCCAATCATTTAGGAAACATTCTTATAAATATTTGCAAACTTAATGATCCAAAAAAAAAAAAAAAAAGCAGAGGTCTTCAGTCTACCTCAAAAAAAATAATGTGTATTGTATATAGGAAACAAAAAAAAGAAAGGAGAAACTATTCACCTTCCTCACAGGAGCCTTTATGCCAAACACTTCACCCATAGCGAGTTGTTCACTGGATTCCTACACAGATTACATAATATTTGTTAATAGGCCAAACTGAAAAAATTAAGAGAAAACTAAAAAGTATATTGGCAAAAAGTACCATGGAAAATTTGTGTTTAAGAAAATTGTTAACTCCAAGGAAGCTTCTTACATGTTAAATCAAGAAATAAGAAATTCAGAGGAAGGTATATCAAGAATACTTACCGGGTGATACTTCAACAGATTGTTAATAATGGTAAGTCTAATTCTCTCTAACATATCAGGATCTTCAACTTTACGCCCAGTGTCTCTGCGACAACATGATAATCAAATAAATTTGTAAAAACTAAAATGCATTAATGAAGCAGCGAAAACATAATAGACAAACAATGATTAGTGAGATTATTATTTCTTTAGATGTCCAAGATGCTCTAAAACATTACCAAAGAGAAAAATGTAGAACCAATATTGCAACCATTTTCCTTGAAATTCATGGAATAATTTACAACAGGAAAAAAAAAGAAAAAAAAAGAATGTCTATTTCTAACAAAAGATATCAGAAGAAAAATGAATTCTGCATATGAAAAAAGAAAAATTAGTGAAGAAGCTTATATATATGTCTAAGTACAGCATTGACTTAAAACTTCGCAATGAAGTAGATAAATAAATGGAATGAACAAATATATAAAATCTGATATGTTAATTATGATGTTAATTATAATTAATTTGATAATGACTGAAATAAGCCTCACATAACACCATAAAACAAAAAAAATTCACTTATATTTCCACTGGCCACTGAAAACATCATTCAAAAGAAAACAATGCTGAACAAACCGGAGGAATAAGACAAAGAAGACATACGATTGTGTAATAAAAAATTTTGTTTGCTTCACTAATCCCTCTGTGGAGACAGTTCCCTTAGAAACATCCAATCCCAAATCTTTTAATGCTTTCATCTGCATTAATAAGAACAAATAGAAGTCAATTATGAATAATACATAGCAAGAACAACAATCTTATACCTGAACATGATCTTTTCCAGCAAAATCTCAAACAAGTTTATTGTCAACCTTATCCCATCAAGAATACACTAAGAGATCTAATTGGGTTGAAACATTTTAGAGATTTAGCATAATTAAGTTTCCACTATCAATATCACCGTGTCAAGAAGAGCTCCAAGACGATCACCAAAACTAAGCTGCACAATTGTTGCTTCGGAATCTGAATCTTGATCTATCATAACTATTGGCATAGGAACACGATCAGGATTGTCACTGGATTTCTGCAGTAAGAAGTAACCAATAAAATATCGCAAATATATACTTATATATCTACATAAAAGCATCGAATGCCCATCTATAAAACCCAGAGGGTGCATGTATGGAATAATTAACAAAGCTCACATTCTTGGCAAAAGCACTGGTCAATTACGGCACCACTATTTTGGACCAGCACAAACTCACACACATACACATAAGTTGAATATAATACAAGATTGACTTCTAAAATACATGGGAGTTATAGATATTGATGCGCACCTAGAATTGGCTTAGAATTGTGCATGCGTGCGTGATATGTGCTAGTGCGTTATTTTTGGATTTATTTTTTTATTTTCAATGGCAATATCATAATTTTGTATTTATTTAAATTTTAATTGCATTTTAGGGTTATTTGGCACATTATAAAAGGGTATTGAAGACTCTATTTGTCGATTGTTGAATTTTTTAATATTTTTAATTGTTTTACAAGAACAAAGCTCTCCTTATCAATTCCAATTCATCTGTTTAAACTATTGTCTCTGCGTTCATTATCAGATGTGATAGTATTAGGCTATTAGCTCTATTGTAGCAGGACATCTAGTTCAACAATAATTTGCATTTGACAGGATTTTCCAAAAAGGATAGAGAAGAAATGTTACATATCTGCAAATCACATTCTCAATAACGTAAAAAATTAATGTAAAAACATGACCCTCATAACATTATGATAGAAACATTGATCTCTACATAATATTTGCATAGACTCTTGTTGTTTAATTCAAATTAGGCAGTTATTAGTGGATAGGATGCAGTTATGTATGTAGTTATTAATTTTAATTCAAATTAGGCAGTTATTAGTGGATAGGATGCAGTTATGTATGTAGTTATTAATTCTCTATGAAATATAGACTGTTATTAGTGGGACTGGGAAAATGAGTAACTGCATGGCAGTTACGGAAAGTTATTATTTTTTAGTTTGAATCCAGATGAAGGGGGAGGAGATCTGTAGAATATGTAGAATATTCTAGATAGTATTTATTGATGTAGTTGGTAGTTGTATATTTAGTTGGTAGTTGTATATTTATTGATGTAGTTGGAGGTTGCATATTTATTAAAGTAGTTGAGGTAGTTGGATGTACTCAATATAAAAAGGACCCATTGGGTCTCTCAATGAATAAAAGAAAGTATTATTCAGACAAAACACTTCTACTTCTTCTTTTTCTTCATGGTATCAAGAGCTGGTTATATTCCAGTCTCTTCCCCGTTCTGATTTATTTTTAAGTCATTTTCCTATTCCTTTTTTTCGTTTTAGCCACTGCCCAAGCCAGAATCCTTACCTAGACACCTCCAACCACGAAACCAAGGCCACCATTAGGTTCAGAACAAAATTCCGAGCCAGCCCACAGAAGACCTGTAGCAGTACTGTTCGTCACTGTAACAGTACTGTTCATCACTGTAGCAGTACTGTTCATCACTGTAGCGATTACTGTTCATCACTGTGGCCAACCCTTTTCTTGTTTTGAGGGTCAAAATCATATTTGGAGGAACTTTTTTCTGGGTACCTGTTAGAAAGCCATGGATGCTGGAAATTCTGAAATTTCGTCTGGAACCTCACCCCTTCGCAACTCTTCGTCTTCTGGAGACAACCCAGCAATGCAGATCACCAGTCACCGTTTAAACGGTAGGAACTATGTGCAATGGTGTCAATCTGTTAAGTTGTTTATCCAGGCTAAAGGGAAGATGGGGTATCTCGACGGAAAAAAGGTAAAACCAGCAGAACGTGAACCTGGTTATGATGCTTGGGTGACTGAAAATGTTTTAGTCATAACATGGCTGACTAATTCTATGGAACCAGATATCAGTCAAACTTATTTATTTCTTGATACAGCTCAAGAAATTTGGGAAGTTGTTAAAGAATATTACTCTGACTTGGGCAATGCATCTCAGGCTTTTGATCTCAACACCAAGGTGAAAGAATTACGCCAAGGAGGGATGACTGTTACTGAATACTTCCTTGCTCTAAAAACACTGTGGCAAGAGTTGGATCTTTATGATAAAGCAGACCTTCAAGGTTTAGAAGCTAATGCAAGGTTCAAAAATTATATAGAGAAAAGGCGTCTCTATGATTTTCTTGCTGGCCTTAATTCTGATCTGGATGATGTTCGTGGAAGAATTTTGGGACAAAACCCATTACCTTCCCTTGCTATTGCTTTTTCTGAAGTACGAAGGGAGGAGCTTCGCCGAAAAGTAATGTTGGGTGATAAGGACTCTAAGTCCTCTGATGGGTCTGCCATTATAGCAAAGAATGCTGTTCGTCCTTCTGGGGACTCAAAACGTCATGACCGTTGGTGTTCTCATTGCAATAAGGGTGGTCACACCCGTGAAAAATGTTGGGAGATTCATGGAAAACCACCAAACTGGAAACCAAAAGGACAGAACAAGAATCGTGCTAATCAAGTATCTTCCGAAGATAAAGGGGAGGTGTCTCATGTCCCTTCAAACCTTGATGGTGTTTTCCTCTCTAAGGCCCAGTATGAGCAATTTCAGAAACTGATATCTCAACCTGCCGAGGCAACTAGTCATGTTGCTCAAAAAGGTATGGCATTCCATGTTGAACGTAGTAATCGTTGGATCCTTGATTCAGGGGCCTCTGATCACATGACAGGTAATGCATGTTGCTCAAAAAGGTATGGCATTCCATGTTGAACGTAGTAATCGTTGGATCCTTGATTCAAGGGCCTCTGATCACATGACAGGTAATGCAACCTTATTTTTCTCCTAGACCCCTTACTATCACCCGTCACGATTAAGAACAGCTGATGGGAATTTCTCCACTATTGCGGGGAAGGGATCCATTAAACTTTCTGAGCATATTATTTTGAATTCAGTCCTTCATGTTCCCTCTCTTACCTGTAACCTCATCTCAATTAGCAAACTTACTGCTGAGTTGCATTGTGTTGCTAAGTTCTCTGCAAATGCTTGTACTGAACAGGACTCGGGGACGATGATTGGCAGTGCTAGAGAGGAAGAAGGGCTCTACTATTTTAAAGAGGATCCTTGTGAAAGGAGGATTTTTTCGAACCACTCTCTATGTTTATCAGATGACTGTAATGATGTTTTGTTATGGCATCGTAGGTTAGGACACCCAAATTTTGTCTATCTTCAGAAGCTATTCCTGAACTTGTTCATCAATAAAAAGCCAAGTTCCCTTCTTTGTGATATTTGTCAGCTTGCAAAGCATTCTCGTGCCACTTATTCTCCTAAAAAATATCATGAATCTTCTCCCTTTACATTGATTCATAGTGATATTTGGGGACCTGCTCGTGAAAAAAATGTCTCGGGTGCTCGTTGGTTTATTACTTTCATTGATGATCATTCTAGGGTATGTTGGGTATACCTCTTGAAAGATAAGTCTGATGCGGCATCCACCTTTAAAAACTTTCATGCTATGATTCAAACTCAATTCCAGACCTCTGTCAAAATCCTGCGAACAGACAATGGTACTGAATATTTTAATTCTGTTCTTGGAGATTACCTAAACCAGCATGGAATTATTCATCAAAGTTCTTGTCCTAACACCCCTCAACAAAATGGGGTAGCTGAAAGAAAAAATAGACATCTAATTGAAGTTGCTCGAGCTCTTTTATTCACGATGGATGTCCCTAAATATCTGTGGGGGGAAGCCGTCTTGACAGCCTCTTATCTCATTAACCGGATGCCTTCTCGGGTACTAAATTTTCATTCTCCTTTATCTTGTTTTACTAAATGTTTTCCCTCTTTCAGTGTTGTTTCTTCTCTTCCTCCCAGAATATTTGGCTGTGTGGTTTTTGTGCATATTCCTCCACATCATAGGTCCAAACTTGACCCTAAATCTGTTAGATGTGTCTTCATAGGATATTCCCCTATTCAAAAAGGTTATAAGTGTTACTCACCTTCTTTCCGTAAGGTTTTTGTTTCCATGGATGTTACCTTTTATGAGACACAATCCTTTTTTTCCCCGACTTCTCTTCAGGGGGAGTCTATTGGTATTGGTATGGATGAAGATAAGCCTGGGAAACCAAATGATGCTGCTGTCTTACGTTGGCCTTTGGAAACAGGGGGAGTTATTGGGAAGGAAACAGGGGGAGCAACTATACCTGAATCTAATGATCCTCCTGGTAAATGGGGAAAATTTTACAGCAGGCGCAAAACACATGAAGATACTCTAGACTGCCAGGATCCTGACTCGAGTCCTTGTTCCAGCAACCCACTTGAATGTACTAGTACAGCCAACATTGATATGTCTATTGCTCTTCGGAAAGGTACTAGATCTTGCACTGCTCATCCTATTTCCCATTATATCTCATATGAAAAGTTGTCTCCAGGTTTTCGTGCTTTCAACACTATGTTAGATAGTACTAGGATACCCAAAAATATCCAAGAAGCACTTGATGACCCAAAATGGAGGAATGCAGTATTAGAATAAATGAATGCACTTACAAAAAATGGAACATGGGAGTTTGTGACATTACCTAAAGGAAAGAAAATTGTTGGTTGCAAGTGGGTGTTCACAATAAAATTCAATGCAGACAATAGCATCAATAGGTATAAGGCCAGATTAGTTGCTAAGGGATTTACTCAGACTCATGGGATAGATTATCAGGAGATATTTGCTCCTGTTGCCAAACTTAACACTATCCGCGTTCTGCTATCTCTTGCCGCCAACCTTGATTGGCCATTGCAACAATTAGATGTTAAGAATGCCTTCTTGAATGGTGATCTACATGAGAAAGTTTACATGGATCCACCTCCTAGTTTTGAAAAAGGGGATGGTTCTGTATGCAAGTTGCAGAAGTCTCTCTATGGACTTAAACAATCTCCCAGAGAATGGTTTGGGAAATTTACTCAAGCTGTTAAGGGAAGAGGGTTCACTCAAGCTCAGACTGATCACACTTTATTTTTTAAACACTCTGACAAAGGAAGAATTGCTATTCTGACCGTTTATATTGATGACATAATTGTCACTGGTAATGATAGCGAGGAGATAACCTCTTTAAAAAAATGTTTAGTTGACCAGTTTGAACTAAAAGATCTTGGATCTCTCAAATATTTCCTTGGCATGGAAATTGCTCGGAGTAAGGAAGAAATTTCTTTAACTCAGAAAAAATACATTCTAGACCTGTTGCAAGAAACATGTATGCTTGGGTGCAAGCCGGCAGAGACTCCAATTGAAGCTAATATCAAGATGGGAGTTGAGGACGGGGAAGATGTTGATAGGGAGCAATACTAGAGACTAGTAGGGAAATTAATCTATTTGTCTCACACTCGTCCTGATATTGCTTTTGCTGTAAGCATGGTTAGCCAATTCATGCATTCTCCTAAGGAAAAACACCTTAGTGCTGTTTATAGAATTCTCAAATACCTCAAAAATACCCCTGGTCAAGGAATTTTCTTTAAAAAGGGGCACAAAAGGATGATTGAAATCTATACAGATGCAGACTGGGCTGGCTCTGCAATAGACCGAAGATCTACTTCAGGATATTGTACTTATGTGTCTAGGGAAACCTTGTGACCTGGAGAAGTAAGAAACAAACTGTTGTTGCAAGAAGCAGTGCAGAAGCGGAATTTCAGGCTCTAGCCCACGGTATTTGTGAAGGAATTTGGTTACGAAGGCTTCTGGAGGAGTTGAAGATCTCTTATTCCCTACCTATCAGATTATATTGTGATAATAAGGCTGCTGTCAGCATTGCTCAAAATCCTGTTCATCATGACAGAACAAAACATGTGGAAGTTGATCGTCACTTTATCAAAGAGAAGTTAGAAGACGGTAGTGTATGCTTGACATATATACCTACCAAGGGAACAGACGGCAGATATCCTCACCAAAGGATTACTTAAGCCGACCTTTGAGAATTTGATCAGCAAGTTGGGAATGATCAATATATATCTCCCAACTTGAGGGGGAGTGTAGAATATGTAGATTATTCTAGATAGTATTTATTGATGTAGTTGGTAGTTGTATATTTAGTTGGTAGTTGTATATTTATTGATGTAGTTGGAGGTTGCATATTTATTAAAGTAGTTGAGGTAGTTGGATGTACTCAATATAAAAAGGACCCATTGGGTCTCTCAATGAATAAAAGAAAGTATTATTCAGACAAAACACTTCTGTTTGGAATCATTTTCGGTCAGGGGACTGGGGCTAAGAGAGTTTCTCCTTGCTGGTAGCATTTGCTCTTACTTATCTATTGTCTATTAATAAAATTCTTCCTATAGACTCTAGATAGGGAGTTAATCCTATCACATTATGATTAACAAAATATCAACTGGCTGAAGGATTGAAAGATCCTCACACAGCAGTTTTTTCAAGACAAGAGATTTTAATTTTATTCTTCTTGGACATTATAATAGGGGAGCCGCAATATCTGAATCATGGTCCTCAATGATTCAAGCAAAATTTTTCATCAGATATATTTTACTACATCAAAAACATCTAAAAGATACTACATAACTATCTTTCAAGTTTAAAATATCATACTCAAATCTCAAGTAGTTTATAAGTCTTTAGCAATAAGGAAAGAATTATCAAAAGACACAAAGGAGGGGAAGTTATAGTACTTTAATCCACGATTCCTTAACATAAATTAGACTGCCCCATTCGCTGCTAGCAAAGAAAAATATTTTTTTTAAAAGATAAAAGAGGAAAAAATATGAAAAAATATCTTTCTAAGAAAGATCAGGAAATAGAAACTACTTAAATACAAAGTCATCATAATAACACAGAAAACCCTATTTAGTCCCAAACTATTTCTCTCTCTCAATTAGTCCCTTGAAAATAAATTTTTGCAGTGCCGCCACTCATCGATTAAAATGAGAATCTAAAACTCACACAATCAATAATAAAAAATAATCATGAATTATACAGTAGCAAGAAACACATACTGACCAGTGAAGCTGAACCAACTGCATTCAAATCATAAGCAGAAGCACATAGAATGTTCCTGCACAACATTTAAACCAATGGTAAGAGACGAGATAGAAATAAATCATGGTAACTCTACTGAAAAAGATTAAAATTCCAGTTGTGTTCACAAGCAACAAGAATATAAGTCTACTCAACAACAGTAGTCATGGATTGAGGGTGTTTGATATGAGTGATGAGTAAGGTACTAGTGGATCGAGCGCTTGACCCTAGCCCAGAAGTTATGGCTTTTAGTCACATAACTCTTTTTACTTACCCTTACTAACCTAAATGTTATGGTTTGATCCGACTCCGACTCCGACCCCAACCCCGACCCATACCCAGCCCTGCCAAGACAGGAGGTTAGGATGTTGATTTTACCAACAATCCCCCAACACCCACCGGAATCAAACCCATAACGTCAACTTTGATATTAGAATCAAGGGCCTTGCCAAGGCAGGTTGTTGGCTTCACTGACAGGTAAAACTCCAAATATGAGAAGATAAGATTTTAACTTTTAACCATAAATGACTCAACAAACATGCATGCCAAACATATTGTTAACTTAACCATATGTTGGATCAAGGACCTACAAACCCAACAGCAGCGACAAGACACAAGACACCAAGAGTGCCTAATAATAAGAAGTAAAAACAATTACAAAACCAAGCTTATCTAACAGTAGGGGTGCTAAATTGAAGTTTAAAGCCTATAGATTTCGAAGAGCAATGGGTCATTCCCAAGTAAGCACTGTTACTTATACAGAGGTCCTTAAAAAATGAGAAAATTGTCTGTAAGAATTAATTGGTATCTGGCTTGGGGCTCGTGGCCCCTGCCATCCTCCCTACCTCTATCCCGGATAATAATTTTGACTCATCGAAACCATACCATCCATTTTTTATTATATACCAATGAAGTGAACAAAGGGTAGCATCAATCAGACATGTGCATCGAGTTAACTACTTTGGACCTACCAAACATTTACTATTTACCATAATATGAGTATAGTCCTTTAAACCTTCATTCTTAAAGTATTTGACAATAAGCATGATTTGAAATCTGCGTATGAATTTGAAAAAGGGGGCATTGACGAGGTTGGTAGAAGAAGTTGACATGCAAATTCTTCAACACAAAAAAGGCAGAGAGCAAACAGAAAAAATAGGCCGATAGTCAATGGGAAAGACAGAGAACTGAGAGGATTAATGATGAAACTATGCAACTTCATCTCATTAGTCAAATACGGGAAACAAGCTTTGACTGCTTTTATACACTCAAAAAGAAGTTTCAACTTAGATATCCACAAAGAGGCACAGGAGTCGTTGAATCTTAAGATCAATACAGACAGACACACAACTAAATACTCAGTTCCATAAGAAACCGTTTTTCCTCAAATTTTTGTTCCTCTTGGAATGGAATTCAATGAAATTTTATGAAGTTCTAGTAAAAATATAATTAAAAGTAAAAATAAAATAAAAATAGTTAATTATGTTTTGTTCCAAAACAAGTATAACTTTATCAACTTTTTTCTCAAAAGATACTCAGTATTACTCTGATTTTATTCAATCCCTCCTCCCTAGTAAACATTACATTCCAAATCCAATATTTCCGTTCTCATCTATCCAAACCATACTCAAATTGCAAAGGAATAAAAGAAAATATCGTCATAATTTGCTCTAATAAATATTTATAATTTCAACAACTAACAAGAAAAAAAAAAAAAAACGTGTCGCGAAGATGATCACTCACTTGTCCCTGGGGAAGGATGGTCGGAATCGGAAGAAAGCATCAGAGGGAGGAGAAAGAAGAGGAATGGAGAGCGGATCGGAAACCCTACCAGCGTGGACGGTGAATGAAGGAGCGAGAAAAGCATTGGTGAAAGCCATGGCGACGAATTGGTGAGAGTGGAAGTTGGTGAAAGCTGTGTGTGTATGATTACGTAACTGAAGGTGGTTTTCTCTTTTTATTTATAAACTATAATTATTTGTTTGTTTTATAGGTTCTGATCTGACTCGTGAAAAGAACTGAAAAGGGAAAAGGGTGGGCATGTGCTACTGAATGCTGACGGAGAGGCCAATGAGACAATTGAAGGGCACGTCAGATCCAACCTTACAGATATTATTCCTTTAGGCCCCACTAGATGCCATTAACATTATCAATTCATAATGATTTGATTACCGTAAATTACAGATCCAATCTTACATATATATTTATCGATAAGGGATATTCTTATTATTAAAAATTTTTACTACTAATTTACTACTTATCTAATCATCATTGAATCAAAGAGAGAATACTAAAAAGTCTTTTTGAAAAAAGAGAAAATATTGATCTAATGGTGATTAGATAGGTAGTGAGTTGGTAGTAGAAGATTTTGGTAATAAGAATATCTCTTCTCATATTTATCACCGATATTTGTTACAATATAATTTTAAGTTATGAGATTTAAATTTTACGTTGATTATATGAATGATTATATGAATGAATAATATGAGATTTTTATAGACTTTAAGAGGTGTTTGGTAGAGGGAAAAAAAATTAGCTGAGAATCTCGATTTTCAGAAATATGATGAAAACATTTAGTTTATGATAATATCTGAAAATTAAAAATTTAGAAAAAATTCAGTTTCCCGATAATCCTGAAAAATACCTTGTACCAAATGCCTCCTTAGATTATTCTAATGTGACTCGATTTATCACTACGATTTTATGTTTTTATGATTTTTTTTCATTGAAACAATTTCACCAATATTCCAAACACTTTTACGTTTTTACAATTTTTTTTATATTATAATTTTACGTATTATGATTTTTTAGTCCATTTCTGATTTTACTTAAAATCTCGATTTTAAGAATCTTGTTTTGAGTTCGTATCATATTTATTCTTATTATTTGCAAATCATAATGATTACCATTAAGTGATATTGATTAGCATTATTAGGATTTGTATAACAAATCATAATGATCAATATTAATTAACATTTGCTAGAAGTTATTTAACAAATCATAAGGGTTGATATTAATTGGCATGATTATCAACCTCAGATAAATTTGATTAGCAAATCATAAAGATTGATATTGATTAATATTTATTAGCATTTCTATCATGGTTAATTTAACAAATGAGGTGAGCCAGAGAATATTTTTTGGGTTTAATTTTGATCAAACAATAAATAAAAATAAAGGTTTAGTGTACATTTTGTTAAATGAAATAAAGTTATCTTTTGTAAATTCAAAATATTATCGTTTTAGGATTTGAGAAAAAAACATGATATCTTACGAAAATTAATATTATATGAAATAAATAAATTTTCAAAATACCCGTATTTTTTCCAAATTTATTATTTTAAGGTTGTAAAAGATAACTTTATCTTGTATGACTAGATAAATATTTGTTTTGCTAAAAATAACAATAAAAGATAATAAGTATAAATTGATAGTAAATATAACCGAGCTATAAACTATAATACTAATTCTCTGGTAAAAATTAAATGCAATCGATCGAGAAATATGTTATGAGTGTGAAGATATAAATATATATAGACGATCAAAATAAAAGTGAATATATATGTAAAAATAACTAAGGAACTAAAACAATATATGTAAATGAAGAAAATTATATTTTGCTCTTATATTAAAATGTGTAAAACGTTGCATTATTAAAATTTGTTCCGTGCAATTATAAACTTTAAGATACTTTCTTATTTTGTATTTTGTATTTTTTTTCTTTAAAATATGCATTATGGATATGATATGAATGACAATTGAAAAGATAAGGCAATCATCGATTTATTTTGAATAATACAATTTTTTTTCAAGCAATGTGGACAATATTTCAGAATGTTAATTAATTATGAGATAAGATCTTTATTTATCAAATAAGTTTGGATGGGATATTTGTAAAGATTAGTGCATATCCTCACCAAAAAAAAATAAAAAAAATTAGTGCATATGGACTTGATATTATAGTATCAGTGTTCTTTTAATATTTTTGTTATGGATGAGGTTCATTCAACGAGAAGTCCAACAAGAGACAATCTAAGATATTAATCGGATATACTTAAGGAATGATATGTTAGAAATTTTTATAATAATTGTGGGCTTCAATCAATTGTAGTTTTTCTTGTTTTGATAAAAACGAGCTAAGTCATGATCCATATGGGGGTGCAGTATAAAGCTCATTTAATTGAGTGATCCTTTTGCTTGAGTTTGGATATCTGTAAACTGATTAGTGTGAGTAATAGTGTAGGCCTAACTCATATGCCCATGATAGGAAGGGGACTAGGGTTAATAAATTGGCTAGGTCCCCTCTGCATTCACAACGTGTTAAAAAACCGTCACTCCACAACTCGTCCCTTCGACGGTTGTGATCTGGGAGTGGTGTGAAATTGTGAATTGCAGAGGAAGATCATGGTCTTTCCATTGCAGGAGCATCAGAGGAAACAAGTAAGTCTACGAATCAATAATCATGTCTTCAACAAGTAAGTCTAAACCCTTTTGGTGTTCTAATTTCATGTAATCATATTTTGAAATTTCTTACATTTGGTATCAGAGCCTAGATTATATGATTTAGGACCCAAATTGAATATGATTGAAATTATGAAATTGAATTCGTTGCTTTTTCTTAATTATTATATATTTTTAAGAAATCAAAGCCAATTATTTTAGAATTTTTTGAAAACGAGTTATGAGGTTTCGATTCATAACCTCGTGTGCTTACCTGTATAGAAAGAAGAGCATGATATTTGATCAAATGTGTTATATGCACTATTCCTAATGTCGGGATATGAGTTTTATATGCGGTTATCAAATCCCTCACTTATATGTGCACCATTTTAGATGTTGGACCAACGATGACGATGAGATCCAAAGTTGAGACCTTGGAAACTTTCAAATTCAAGAAATTTGGGGATATAGTTTGGAAAAATATTATGTTTCGAATAAATGTATTATATATCTGATGGAAGGGAAATTGTTTATCATTATTAATATATATTATTTGCATGTTTCATTATCATAAATGTATGTTGAACAATCCGTATGTCATTTGCGTGTTTATGTTTAAACAAATGTTATTATTATTATTTGATTTGAGATCCTTGTTGAATTTGATTGAAAGTTTTAAAAATATATCTTTTTGTCATTATGGGTCAATGAAAATATTTGGATAGAAGTAAATACATTACCATTGTTTTTTTTTGTATTTAATTTAAAACTATTTGGAATGAATAGTTTAAAATAAAAGTTATTTGATAGTCACGTGGATTACATCACATTTAACATGAACAAAAAAAAAAAGCATGAATCCATGATAGCTTTGATGAATACTGTTTTGTTTAGAGTTAGGGGTTATTTATGAATGCAACTTATTTCCCCGGTGGTTGATTTGCTTGGTGGGGAAGAAGACCCATTTGAATTTTTGAGTGAAGCTCATTCAAAGGCTATGCCGCATAAGGCACTTATGATTTTTGCCAAATATTACTGGTGTGATGTTATAATTAAATGTGATTTTATGATATATTTAAAATAAATAAATTGTTGTAATAAATATCTTTTTTTGGGAAAATGATAAACCTTATATGCTTGCTCTGATATATTTTTTTGTTTATTAAGATGCATGCTTCCGCTTGAATTATTTGAGTGCAAAATTTTGTTGAAAATGCTATTATCTTTGATTTATTATCAGTAGAGATATTGCACTTTGTTATGGATTGGATTGGGGTTTTGGGCAAGAGAAAATTAATTTCGGTGTGAGAGTTTTCATGAATTAGTATGGGTAATTGCCACCAAAGTGGGATTACTTATACTGGTTTGTGAAAATTTCTTTGTAAAATTTGAGAGATGATTTTGGTTATTTCATGCAATTATCTGCCCAAAGGGGGTAATTGTATGCTATAACTATGAACTTATTTGGGGTGATGTTAATGGAGGTGCATTGGTCTATGTGATTTGTCTGCCCAAAGGGGACACATCTCTGAAGCCAGTGTATGCTCATTGAGCAAATTTTTCATGAGGTTGTAGATGAAGTTATTGGAGGCTCATTGAGCTAGAGATTTATCTGCCCAAAGGGGATGGATTTTCGAACCCAATGTTGTGCTCATTGATTAACTCACCTGATGTTCTGACCTTGGTTTATACCTTGGTTTGTGCATTCTGTCCATAGGAGAATGTACTATTATGTTGGCCTTGTTATGACAACTTGTTGTGCTAAATGATTAACTCATCCTAACAACTTCTTCTTGAGATTGTAGATGAAGTTATTGGAGGCTCATTGGTCTAGGAATCTATCTGCCCAAAGGGGATAGATTTTCAAACACAGTGTTGTACTCATTGATTAACTCATCTGAGGTTCTGGCCTTGGTTCAACCTTGGTTAGTGCGTTCTGCCCAAAGGGGTATGTACTATTATGTTGGCCTCATTATAATATCTTGATTTAATTAAAGGTGTATATTGCCTTGTAATTTACTCTGATGCATTCTTGTTTTGCCTTAATAATGACCTTCTATGTTTGATTCGTTTTTAAATTAATATTTTGAAATATTTATTTTAATTTTTTATATACATGAATATTTATTTGGACTTATTTGCTCTTATTCATGTTTAATTTTGTGAGAGATATTTATGATTTTTTTTAATTAATGAAATTTATTATAAATTACAGTGTTTATAATGTTACTCCCCTTTTATTTGAGTTTGATTAGTGAGCTAAGATGTATAATTGTTGATATTGGGGATTGAAATTTGTGACACAAATTGCAGTTTAGTAAATGCAATATGAATTTGGAAAACATATGCTATAAGATTTTTCATATTATTTAGGTATAATTGTTGAAAATGTTATTTGTGAATCGTCAGGATTCTTTGTTAATAAAAATTATTGTTTTCAATTATCTGCCCAAAGGAGAGTTTATAATATGCTAATTATTTCGTTAAAATTATTTCACTGCCCATAATTAATATAATTGCATTTATGTAATAAATATACTTTTGATATGAACGATAACAATGCCATAACAGAATTGTTGATTGGATTGAATTGTGAATAATGGATATGAGATCTAGATTTTTATTTTATTTTTTTATGAATTTTGATCTTGATAAGGCATTGTGTGTTAGCCCATAATTAATGCAGAGAACATACTTGACGTGTTTTTTTAGTGGGAGATATATGATTAATTTTGTGTGATCTTGAAATTTTTATCGAGTCAGTGGGAGATAATTGCTTAGTTTTTAATGTCAGGATATGAATTTATTTTGAAATGAATTTTCTATAAGGCCTCTTTGAGAAGGATTTTTAATTCTATATCCCTTTTTTAAATCAACATGAATTTTATTTTACATTAATGGTGATCTGATGAGATAGTGACTTTCTTGAGCAATGATAAAAATAATTTCTGTTAGTATATTTACCATAAGGTCAGTGGGAGAAAATTCATTTTCTTGTATTGTATGTGAATCACTTAGTTGTTGAGAATATTGACTGACTCTCTAACCAAAGGATTTAGGCCCATGATAAATACACGTGAAGAATATGGGCATTGTGAATTCCCTTGATTTAGTTGATTAGTGGGAGTTTAAATTATTTATTGTTTTACGATGTTGAGCTATTTATTTTGGATATAATTGACGTTTGGTTGACAGATAAATTATTTTGGCGCATTTGACAATGCTTTGAGTTTTATTATTGTATATATTGAGTACATGTATTTATGTTATCAATTGTGAGATATTTTGGAACTCAGTGTCGTTGGGACCACCATGCCTGTGGTTGACACTATATTGGAGTTTGAGGCATGATTTTGGAACTCAGTGTCGTTGAGACCACAATGCCTGTGGTTGACACTATATTGGAGTTTGGGTTGACACTATATTGGAGTTTGAGGCATGATTTTGGAACTCAGTGTCGTTGGAACCATCATGTCTGTGGCTGACACTATATGGGAGTTTGAGACATAATGGTGTTGTTAGGATTACAGGGCCCGTAGTCGACACCATATTTGATTATATGATGGTTTTTTGATAAACCATGGAATTTCTCTGGCTTTAAGGCATTTGAGAGAAATTTGAGGATTGACAGAGAAAATAGCAGTTTGGTTGTTGTTGGATCACATTGGCATGCTATTTTCTTGCTACACTCCACACTAATGACTAGTCGACAGAGTCAAGTAACATTTGTGACCATGGAAGGTCTTATATCGGTAAGGGTATAATCACCGCCTGATTCAATGTTATTTGATTTTAGTTGGATGGAGTCATATTCAGATATCGCACCTTGGATAATGTGTTTTCTTAAAATATGGCCACATTATAAGAATTAGTCCTTAGCCTGAGAGTCTTTTTCAAATAACTTGTTTTTCTTTTCTCTTTTAAATTAAAATTTTACAATTGATTTTGCCCAAGTGGGAGAATGTTAGAAATTTTTATAATAATTGTGGGCTTCAATCAATTGTAGTTTTTCTTGTTTTGATAAAAACGGGCTAAGTCGTGATCCATGTGGGGGTGCAGTATAAAGCCCATTTAATTGAGTGATCCTTTTGTTTGGGCTTGGATATCTGTAAACTGATTAGTGTGGGTAATAGTGTAGGCCTAACCCATAGGTCCATGATGGGAAGGGGACTAGGGTTAATAAATTGGCTAGGTTCTCTCTGCATTCACAACATGTTAGAAAACCGTCACTCCACAACTCGCCCCATCGACGGTTGTGATCTGGGAGTGGTGTGAAATTGTGAATTGCAGAGGAAGATCATGGTCTTTCCATTGCAGGAGCATCAGAGGAAACAAGTAAGTCTACGAATCAATAATCATCTCTTCAACAAGTAAGTCTAAACCCTTTTGGTGTTCTAATTTCATGTAATCATATTTTGAAATTTCTTACATGATATTCATCAAAGATATCAATCAGAATACGACGGCATAACATATGGGTTTGGGTCGTCATCAAAAGTATTGAAGGTCCAGAATCTATTACTCACAGGTAAACTCTATAAATAAGAGGTAAAACCTACATGTTAGGCTCTCTCACTTACTGTTATACTGCCACTATACACACATCCACACTCCTTTAGCAAAGTCGTTTATAGTTCTTCAGTGCACAATGATCTTGACTCAAAAATATCTAACTCATAGATACCTTAGAGAGAATACTTTGATGGTGATAGTTCAGTTGGCGCATGGAAGCTAAGCAGATGGAATAAGAGCATGTGTTCGAATCTCTCAAGTACCATTTTTAGAATGAATTTAAAGTCTTAATCCTTATAATATTTTCAAAAAAACAATATACTAGTTCATTGGAGTAAACATTTCTGTCTCCACCAACTTTAATAGCCTAAGGTTATCGTCTCTGGCAATATCAATGAATCGGCGGGGAAGATAATTTCGAATCAGAAAATTATTATATTAATAAAAGATTTATAACCACGACAATGATCAATCATATTCGAACCAGAAAACTATTATATTAATTAAAATGTTTGATAACTACGAGATTAAATTAGATGCTCCATCATATTCAGAGTTTGATGGTATTGTTTGGACATGGAGCCAGGGAATAACTTCTAGAACTGGATACCAAAAACCAGCGAACTTTTTACATGTGATGTGATGTCATGTATGGAATTTTTATTTTTATTTTGGTTTTCCAATGTATACATAAGACCATAGCCGATAATCTAGCTTCTTGATCACCGTAGTCTTTATTGAATAATTAATTATCAAATCGACCTTGATTATAAACTATTTTAAAAATTTAACTTTGCTTAAAAACATAACACCAATCTACTATTGTTTGACAGTTGACCATCAAGCCTACCCGAGTATCCTCTCCCTACCCGGGTATATTTTGAAAATTTTACCCTACCTGAGTAGTCAAGGGAATACCCGGGTATATTTCAAAAATCTGAAAAAATGGTTGAATTATTTACCCAGATAGGGAGAGAGCTACCGAGTAAATATTAGAAGAATATCCAAAACAAAGGATTGTGTCTCCAGTAAAAAGAATCCCTCTTCAAGAATAATTGACTGGTCTTTGGAGAGCCTAAGTTTTTTCCTTGAGGTTTCACCGTCTTCTTCGTCGCTGATTCCTCTAGAACAAGCTCTGTCTATGTCATGTTCTTCCTCGTTGTTCTCTCTCTCGCTACGCTTACCGCTCACACTCGAAACGGTGTTGTTTGGGGATGAAACACCACCCTCCTCTTCACAATCAACCCCATAAGGCAACCGCTTCACATCGATTGCGCCCAGGAAAGATCGACCTTCGCCTCTGCATGTTTCCGAATCTCGATCTGCATGCATGTAATCAAAACAACATTTAGTATAAAAATTAAGGGTTTATTTTTTCTCAAGTTACTTTAGATAACTTTATCCAATGTTCATCGAAACGACGTCGTTTTGGGCGGAAATCATGATGTTTTTGTAATTTTAATTTATTTCAGGGTTATAATAGTCTTTATCATTATAATTTTTTAATTTTTTAATCCCAAAACGACGTCGTTTCGATGAACATTAGACAAAGTTGTCTAAAGTAACATCAGAAACTTTTTTCCCAAAAATTAATCTGGTCATTGATTTTTATTCTTTCAATAAAGAAAAAAAAGTGAGATAGAATTATTCCCGAGGTGCGCTTGTTTTTTTCTTTTTTCTTTTCACCATGTTTAAAGTAAAAGATAAAGAAAACAGAGAGAAATTGGACCAGATCTGGAAACAAAGGGAAAAAACATATGGAGAATCGAATAACACACACCTGAAGAAGTGAAAGGCTGGTTCCAGGAGGGTTTTTGAGTCATATCCTTTGTTTTGGATATTCTTGTATTATTTCTTCTTGCTTCAGTCATCAACTTTCTTGATGATCCCTGTTATTGTTACAAGCAATTCTCTCTCTCTCTCTGGTGATTATTTTTCCTTTTCTTTGAATTTTTGTAAAAGAAAGAGTGAAAGTGAAATAACTATGAAAATTCTGATCTGATAATTACGATCATATATTGACAAAATATGCAACATTTACCCGGGTAGCTCCATCCTTATCCGGGTAAATAATTCAACTATTTTCTCAGATTTTTGAAATATACCCAGGTATTCCCTTGACTATCCCGGCAGAGTAAAATTTTCAAAATAGTCCCGGGTAGGGAGGGGATATCCGGGTAGGTTTGATGGTCAACGGTCAAACATGGACAGATTGGTGTTATGTTTTTAAGTAAGATTAAATTTTTGAAATAGTTTATAATCAAGGTCAATTTAGTAATTAATTATTCTATAAGGGCTACAGTGGTCGAAAAGCCCGATAATCTAAGATTAATTTTTTTCATAAGGAGATCACATTAAATAAATAAATTTCTCCCAATAAAATCTTTTCTATATACATGATGAGGGATCGAACCCTCTTAATACAAATACAAAACTTACCATATTTTAAAAAAACTTGTTATTTGCTTGATTTTAAGCGTATTTTAATATTTAAGATTAACAAATATAAGAAAAAAAAAGTCAATGATAAACACTTATTTAAATGATGAAACGTAATATTTAATATTAACGATGAGAGAGAATTTTACTATTACCATAAAGTAAAAAATATTAAAAAAATATTATTTATAAAAATGAAAATCTTGACAATATAATAAAATTGAATATTTTTTTGGTATGCAAATTTTTAAATATGATCATAAATAACATTTATAATATCAGTTAAATAGAAAATAAATAATAAAAAACTAGCTTATATTTTTTGTTTTAGATATTTTCATTTATTTTTTGATATTAACATGTTTAGATTTTTATCCTTGTTTGTTTTTATTTAATCAAAAATTTA